TGTAAAAGCAACACCCAAACGTTCCTAGAGGAACAGGCAACGGGCAGAAAACACCAGAAAAGCAAAGAAATGACAACAGGAGAATAAAAACCCCTGAAAAAAGGTGAAAACTCACCCCAGAAGCTCGCTCGCACACCCAGTCGCATGTAAACAAACCGCAGCGCCGCCCTGGTAGCCACACCGGGAAACCGGCAGACGAAAATGGCCGCCAGCAGGGGCTGTGGCTGACGCTAAAAATACAAAAACACGCCAGCAAAAGTGGGAAGCTAGCAGACTGGATGGGCGAAAAACGTCGCCCAACAGCAGAAAACCCAGGCAGGGGCAAACCGCCCCAGAACTGCTAGCAGGCATCCCCAACAGCCCTGGGAACCAACAACAGAGGCCCCGGGGCAGAGCCATCCTCCAAGCCCTCCGCCCTGAAAGAAAAGCAAGAGTCCATGGGAAAGGCAGCAAGAAAGGGCCGCTGGTAAGACCCAAAAGCCTTGGCAGGAGGAACGGGCTCGAAAAACCTCCAACCCCCAACCCAAACAGGGCAGCCCCCGAAAACCGCCCGAGTCTCGGCCCCAACTAAAACCCCGCCCCGACCCCGAAACCCACAGACAGACCGGAGCCGGGAACAGGGAGGGAAAGGGGCGAACAGCACCTAAAGAAACGGGGCGGCCTCGGGGCATCTGAGTGGGAAACTAACCTAGCATGTTGCAGCAATCTAACCTAGCTTGCAACACGGATGCCGCCTGTACTCTGAACAGTAATAACAACAGGAGAGTACTGGAGAATGAGCAGAGAAGCTCTCGCAAGACTCCGGGTCAAGGTGTCAGTGACCCAACAGGCAGCATGACGGAGGTAAAAATGGCGACTGTCACCCGGAGACAAGGGCACAGCAACCAACAATCCCGTACAAGACGGGTTGGAACCCGGAAGACACATTCAATGGTCCCCCGAGCCCAGACAGGGGTTTCCAGGGCCCGTAGGGGTAACAAATACGGGAAGCTCGGGCAAGGTGTTGCTAACCGGTTAAGAAACCCAAACATAACAAGAGGGTAGAGGATAGCACTGAAAACCCCTGCGACGTGTACAATCACGGGGGCCTAGCAGAGGGCCGCCAAACACTACCAGTGGTAATATAGCCACACTAGGCAGACCCCCACCAGGCATGAAAATAAAAACAAAAGAAAAACCCCGCAAAAGTACACCGTCACCAGAGGCAACAGGAACCAGCCGCCGCTTAGGTGGCAGGCTGTGCAACACCTTGACGCCCTAACCAGCACAATACCAATCCCTACCCAGGGCCAAACAAGGGCCCCAAGCCCCACCTGGCCCCAAGGGCAAGGCAAATGCCGAGTAGCAAGAACCTCTACAAGAATGGTTCCCGAACGCCCCAGGGAAGATAACCCTGTTACGCAAGGGCAGTACTCACAGGGCGCTTAGGGAAGTCAGCCACTAAGCGCATGCAGCCCTGGCACTGATGAGGTACTCCTGGGCACCGCACAACACAACACACGGCAGTGAACGCCACACAAGGCAAACACCGCCTAGGAAACTGAGGCCAGAGAAGCGTCTAACCCAGTTGACATTAGTGAACGAACTGAAGCTTGGCAGCCGGCGCGGTAGGTCCGGGGCTCCCCCCTCCCCCTCTCGGGGCGGGGAGGGCTGCGCGGACGATCGGCGCGGCAGTAAAGTGTGATGTTTGCTTGTTTCCTTGTGATTGCAGGGAGTTTCAACCTCTCTGTTCGGTTTTTTGTTTGTTTTTTACCATGTGGGGTTTGTTTTGTTATGCCTACCTTTCTGGGTGCCTAACCCCGGTCGATGGCAGATAAGGAAAACCCCAACCACAAAGGGGTTTTCCAGGGCCATTGCTCCCTGAAACCTCTGAAGGGGCCAGGTTCTGGCGCTGGTCCCTGGTAGGTCTGAACTCCTTAGCTAATGTCCCGGTCTAATATAACATACATTAGCCCGATAAGCTCCAGGGAGCCGTAGGGGCTCCCCACAGAAAAAAACTATTTCTTCTTCGTTCCTGCTCTCATTTAGATGTTTTTGCCTTGACGCAGTTCAGTTTCAGCTTCTCTTGCTCTTCTTTTGAAACATCTTGTCTTAATAACAAGAATTTCCCTTCCTCATCACTTTGTAATTTCCTAACATTTCTTAGTACTTCTTCCATCTGTTTAGCACAATTCAGGGTAATCCACAAGGGTCTATCTTTCCCTTTTTCGTACCTACCAATTCTCCTGTAGTCACGAACATTCTCTTTGGTTATAAGACCTTCCACTAGCCCAACAATTTTATCTACTACTTTTGCCTCTTCTACAGCTCTTTCTGACCTAGATGTTATCTTCTTTTCTTTGCAACCTAAAATTAATAGGGACTCACTTCGATTGAGTGTGTTTTGTACCAACTTCGGGTTTGATGCCTGTTCCTTTCTGACTTCCAGCCTAATGTTTGTTTTATCCTGGTTGCTGCAGTGTTTGGCTACCTTTACTGCTTCTATTTTCTCCTTCTCCCTGGCCACCTGGGGGGGGGGTGTCGGTCTTTCCCAACTCTTCCTTTTTACATGAATGAGCTAGATAGGTGAGTTGCATGTCCTTTGTGCACTGTTCCATTCCCTGTGTAACTTTCTTCATCTGTATTGACAAAACTGTGTTTTCTCTTGGATTTCCTTACCTAACGTGTTGTAATCATTCATGTTTAAATTTGCTTTAACTTCTTCAAAAGCTATTGTCAAGAGTTTAAATGTGTATGCTTGTGTGAGTGTAAAGTTTCCCTCTGCGTTTTCGTGAGAGCAGCGTTCCTGTACCCTACGAGGAGAGACAACACACACAATGGGTGTGAGGTGTGTGCTTATGAGGTGCTCACCTCACTGTGTAAGGTTTTTGACCTCAATTATACCTATGTAACTGTAATACAATTGTCCATCTGGTAAGTGAGAGGTTATTTTCTGTTGTATGATGTCCCATTTCTTGTGTACAGTATTTTAATAAATGTAATTCACACGCTCTGACTGTTTGACGAGTCCCGCCAATTCAAAATATGGTACCGGCCCCATGTGGTTACTCTTGTGTTTAACACTTTGGTGCACCCCGCTCGCCACCCCTCAACTGTGCGATATGGGACCCAGGGTGTCACGGGAGTGCGCGTAAATTCTGAAAAGTGTATACTCTCTTCAACTTTGTCACCTTAATTCTCGTCCTACGAGATTAAATTTGGTATCATTGTGTTCACAATAGAATTCTCTACAGCACTAAATGAATATAAACTCCAAAAGCCCGGCTAATTACCCGCAGCAAACAGAGAAAGTGCGAACGAGTTACCCAGGAGCGCGCAAACGCGATAAAATGTTTTCACTATTTTCACTCTGGTCACCTTAATTTTTATCCTAAATCTTTCATTTTGGTCTCAATGGGTTCGCAATAGAATTCTCTAGAGGAACATTAGCATATAAAATAAAAAACCTGGTCACGCTCCAACCGCCGACGAGTTGAAGACGGGCCACGCGTTAGACGCGAGTGAGTGCTCAGCCGCCTTCCAGCTACTCCCCCAATTTCCGCCCTTTTCAAGCCTTTCTTTCGCAATTTTCTTCCTGGAAGGGCCTTGTTCATGATCACTATCCATCGTGGAGTAAGCGTAGATAGTTTCTAAAGCCGCAGTAAGAAATATAGCCACGGAAAATACGAAATGAACACGAAATGTTCACACGTTTGAGATGCGAGGGGAGGCGACATTGGTCACAACAGTGGAGCGAAAACAATGGGCCCACGGCATGTGCCAAGCTGCCTGAGGGCCACGAGGCTCAACAAAGAAAATGGGAAGACATCGGCGCGCATTTTAAAACCAGTCCCAAAAAAATCGGATAAAAACCTGATTTTTGGCGATTATTTTAAGTGGATGACGCAATGCTGCGTCATCCCCGGAATTACCGCCAGTAAACAGATGACGCAATGCTGCGTCATGCCCGGGCGAAAGTGTTAAGTCTTTATAAGTAACATTTCTTCTATATTCCCTGTTTTAAAGTAATGTACCTATACTGTAAGTAAGGAAGTAAAGGACGGGTTTTGATAGTCCATGCTCTAGGATACAGCTTAGAAGCATATGTCCTTACACGTGCTCTTACATCCTTGGTGGCTGTAATGATGGAGTAAGCCTTGCCCTGGGAACAGACAATGTCTCATGTATCAGGTTTACTCTCCAAGTCACTGATATCTGAACCTTGTACAGATATCTGAGTCTTGTACAGTCTTTATTAGTAAAAGGTCTCAAATCATTTATGTCTCTATCATCATCAAATTCTTACAGTATGGCACTGCTGTGAGCTGGTGTTGCATGTGCTGCTCATGGGTATGTGAGTACAGTACTGAGGCCTTCCTGCTAAGGAGGAGAAGATAATTATTAGAAGAAAGCATTAAGCCATTATGACTATATGGCACTTGGAAGGGATAAGAGGATAAGGATTTAGGTTAGGATGGAGGGAAGGAATGGTGTCCAACTACTTAGATGGTTGGGGATTGAATGGTGAACTGCAAAGAATTGAGACCATTACTAATGTCCAGACCACATTGTTGGTCTGCCGAAGATGAGTGCCCACAATATTTTGTTTAAGGATGGCAAATGTTTACTAACAGCCTGAGGTGTCACAGGGATGTCCAGTGAGTTTTGTATCTTATGAAGTACCTAAATACATCCAAGGTTGCAATGCGCACCACCAACCGAACATCCTTGGTTGTAATATGAAGTTGAAAGGTTAAGCACAATTTTTATTTTCTAAGCAGTTGCTTGTTTTGTTTTATCAAACTTACCTTCCTGTTTTCCTCTGATCCCCAAGCTACACTCATCTCAAAGTGTGTGCTAGATTCTGTTTCTGGCTCCCAGAAGACCAGCATGAATATCAGAGTCCTGGTGGGATTCTCAAGGCTCAGCTATACCAGTGCATAAACTCTGGGAAGCTACCAAGGGAGACATTCAAGAAAAGGGAGATTGTCATACATCCCTTAAAAGAAAGAGATACTTACCAAGTGTCCATGTGACTAAGTCGGCTTTAACAGGGTGCTGGAAATGTCCTTGGAGAATTTGTTTGTCGGAGATATGAACATTAAGCTCTTTTGCAGTAACCTCTACTTTTACCTCTTCTTTCAGTGCTGTGTCAACATTCATCATGACAGTAATGTTTTCTGTTGAGAAAATAAGCAAATAAAATCATATATTGTAAAAGTTTTACATTGAGTTTACCCTGAGGTGGTTCACAGAGATTCAGTATCCCAGCAGTCAGGTCTCTGACCAGGCCTCTTGGTTCATGTGTGGTCAGACAGACAGATTGTCACTGCTGCATACAGTCTAATGTGGTAACAACTACAGACTAGCTGATCATATATTTTTTGGAGGAATTAATCGTGCTATCAGTTGAACACAGTTAAGGTTCTGGTAGTACTGCTCCTTATATTTAGAAAAAATAAAACCTTGTGTTTTAAGCGTTTTAACCCTTAGGCCATTAAGGGCCATTTTGCCTTCAACACCCACAGGTGAAACAAAAAAAAATCCAAAAAAATTCTTTCATCTTATAGAAGTGTTCATTTGTGTTCCCTGATCACGGGGAAAAAAATCGTAGGTGGCATATTTTGGCCACAATAGGGCGGGGAAGTCTGGCAAAAATTCAGCATTGAATGTAATGAAACGCCATTTTCTGGGTGAGTCCCGGAGGCTCCCAGAGCTATCCAGGATGAATGGATATGTATAACTTTCTGGCATCAGTCAATGCATGGAGTTCTTGCCTACCGGGGACCACGAGCCAGAACCTGGCCCCCCTCTAGAGAGGCACAAGGAGCAATGGCCTATAGAGACCCCCCTTATGATTGGGAGCATTCTATGTCTGCCATCGACCGGGACAGGCACCCAGAAAGGTAGGCGCCCCAAAACAAACCCCTATTCTGGTAAACTATTGCGACCGAAGACCGAACAGGTGGACAGAACTCCCCAAACAAAAATTAGCCCTCATGACGTCATCAAGTCGCCGCGCCGCCGTCTGCGCAACCCCCCCCCCTCTCCGGGAGGGAAAAGGGGGGAGCCCCAGATCCCACCGTCAGCGACCCAACTATTAGTTCTTAGGCTGGATGTCAAAAACGCGAAAAACACCGCCGACTGGAGGGAGGGAGGGAGGGATGCCGGGGAGCCTCCGGGACTCACCCAGAAAATGGCGTTTCATTACATTCAACGCTGGATTTCTAAGGGGAGCCCCGTCGGCTCCCCGGAGCTAACTACCCAAAGATAAGGAAAAAACAGGGACTTACCCGGGCGGTGGTCTGTCCTCACTCCTCAACGCGAAGGCGAGACAACTGGCTGCAACCGTCGACCCAAAGCAACGCAGGCCCGACAAGGCCCGTCGACCCCGACGGCTTCGCAGTCGGGAAAGGGTGCCACATAAACTGGAAGACGCCTCGACCACACCGACACGAAGAGATCCACGTCCGGAGTCCCGAACATCCGGCACAGCCAACGGAAGGAGTCGGCATCGATCGTCCACTCCGAGGACAGGGGACGGAACCGAGACAGGCCGTCCGCCAGGACGTTGGACACCCCCCGGACATGAACCGCCAGGAGAGCCAAACCCCGAGAACTCAGCAGACGAGTCACCCGAAGCGACCAGCCCCAAAGGGCCAAGGATCGCATCGAACCCCCTCGGTTCAAACAATGAACCACCGGGGTGCAGTCCGAATGGAGCCGGATCGTCGATCCGCGAGCGACTCGAATCCTCCGGAGCGACATACACACTGCTGCGAACTCCCACACTGTGCTGTGAGCCCGACGGTAAAACGGAACCCACCGTCCCTGGCCGGCCTGGTGAGCACTGGTCACAAAACCCCAGCCAAGAGGTTATCTTGAGGTTCTCTTGAGATGATTTCGGGGCTTTTAGTATCCCCGTGGCCCGGTCCTCGACCAGGCCTCCACCCCCAGGAAGCAGCCTGTGACAGCTGACTAACACCCAGGTACCTAATTTACTGCTAGGTAACAGAGGCATAGGGTGAAAGAAACTTTGACCATTGTTTCTCGCTGGCGCCTGGGATCAAACCCAGGACCACAGGATCACAAGTCCCCCGTGCTGTCCGCTCGGCCGACCTGCTCCCGAGACGACGCGTCCACGTACACATCGAGCGAGGGCACGGGAAGGCGCCAAGGCACCGAACCCCGAAAAACCCGAAGAGGAAGCCGGCGACGCAGCAACTGACGCAAAGCCCCCGGAGGTCGAACCCAACGATCGCGAGAGAGGCGGAAGGGCCGGCCCCGAAGGAACCAGAACAGCCGACGAAGCCACACCCGACCCGGCGGGTAGACCATCATGGCAAAGTTCAGGCTCCCGCACAAACTCTCGAGCAACCACCTTGTGACCCGGGAACCCCTCAGAAACGGGCGAAGGCGGGACCGCAGGCGCAAGAGAGCCGCCGGAGGAAGAGACAAGGAAGCAGTCCGAGCGTCCCAAACCAGACCCAGCCAAGACCGAACCTGAGAGGGAACCAGATGGGACTTCCTCCAGTTCACCAAGAACCCGAACCTGGCGAGCTGGGAAAGAACCAAATCCCTTTCGAGCAGACACACAGACCGGCTGGGAGCCCAAACCAGCCAGTCGTCGAGATAGGCCAGCACCCGAACACCTAGCAGACGCAGGCGGGCCACCACGACCCAAGTGAGGCGTGTGAAAACGCGTGGCGCCAGATTCGACCCAAAGGGAAGACAACGAAAGCGGTAACCTTGACGCCCCACAACAAAACCGAGCCAGTCCCTGAACTCCAGATGAACCGTCACGTGCCAATACGCGTCCTTGAGATCCAGAGACACCATCCAAGCGCTCCTCTCCAAGAGAAGACAGACCTGGGACAGCGTAGTCATACGAAAGGAGGGGCACAACACCCACGGGTTCAGACGGAACAAGTCCAGAATGAACCGGAGGTCTGCGCAGTCCCGTTTCGGAACCGGAAACAAGCGGGAAACCCACCTGAGGGACGACGTCGTTTCGACTACGCCAAAGCGAACCCACTCCGAGATGACCTGACAGAGCGCAGGAGAAGAGGCCTGCCCCGCAAGCCCCGAACCCCCCAAGGGAGGAAGAGCCACCCAACACCACCACAGGCCGCGTGAAACGACCCGAAAAGCCCATGAATCGTGGGACCAGACGTGGGCAAACCGAGCGAGCCGCCCCCCCATCGCCCCGTCAATGGGGCGAACCGTGAAAGGGCCGACGCACCTTGCGAGAACCAAGGCGGCGAACAGGATGGAGCCCACTCCGTCCAGCAACAGCCAGAACCGAAGGCGCCGCCAGCCCCGAATCTGGCACCAAAGGCCTACCCCGACGAAAAAAACCCCGAGCCCTGGCACGACCCCTTCCGGGAAGGCCCCCCACGAGCCCCCTGGAGCAACAATAACTCCGACATAGGCCGACAACTAACCGAGGCTGCCTGCAGATACTGCCCCACCACAGCCTCCGCAAACAGCAACGGACAAAAGGGCGAGGATAAACGAAGAGCCAGGGCCCAGGCAGACTTACAGGAGGAAGCTAGCACCGCCTGACGACACGTGAGGTGAGAAGCATAGAACCGCGAAACTGCATCACGCAGGATGGGCGCAAAGAGCTTCAACAAAGCAGACGATGCCCACACAGCCGAGGGCAGCGCACCAGACCCAGCAGCGGCCCCAAGCGCTCCCACATCCAACTCGAGCCAATCCGAGGATAGCTCAAGGAGGGAAAAGAAATGCAGAGCCGAAGCAAGCAGGCCATGAGTCCGCAAATCCTCCGCAATCAAGGCAGCCAAGAGGGAAGGAACCTGCACGTGAAGCTGCATGACACCAACATCCCGCGGAAGGGCAGGGGCGAACAAACAAGCATTCAGATGCTCGAAAGCGCCCCCCAGGAAAACCTACAACGCCAAGGAAACTTCTCGCCATTCAAGCGCACGGGACCGACAGAACGTGTGCCAAGCCTCCAACGAAAAGAGAGGACAGTCTGCCAACCAGGATGACTCCGGAACCTCATAATGAAACCAGCACGAACCTGGGGATCCGTACACGAAGGAACGAGGATCCGTCAGGAAGGCATAATCCGGGTCACGCAAGAGGTAAACCGCCAAGGCCTCCCGCACCTCCGAAGCCGAAACACGGGAAGCGGGAAACCTCTGGAAAGACGGAACCGAAGAACCCTCGGGATCACGGAACCTAACTCGGGACGGGGTGGATACCAAATCCAATTCGTACGCGGAGAGAGCGAAAGAGAACCCCTCTTCTTGTAACACCAAGCCCTGCTCGGAGGGCAAAAAAACCCAGGCGGGGTCCAATGGGGCCCAAGGCCCCCAAGCCAACCCCAGGAACCTCACCCAGAGGGCCCGGGGCCGAGCCGTCCTCCTGAGCCCCCATCCCCAAAGAAAAGGTGGGAGCAGCCGACAAAGCAGGAACAAAGGGGGCCCACTGGCCAGACCCAAAAGCTTCGGCAGAAGGACCAGGCTCGAATGCCTCCGCCACTGCCCCAGAAGGGGACACCCCCGAGACTGCCCGAGTCTCACAACCGACTAAACCCTGCCCCGGCTCCGAAACCCTCAGACGTTTAGGAGCCGGCAGCAAGGGGGGGAGGGGGGACCGAACGAGCAACAGAAGGGGAAGGACTTGGAGGGGTGGACGGAACCAGAGCCGAAGCGACCCCCACCCCCAAGTCTGGTTCCCTATAACCAAAACGGGGCAGTCTCGGGGCATCCGGGGCAGCGACCAACCTAGCGCGGTGCAGTAACCTAAATCGAGCATGCAACGCCTCAGCTGTCCTCACCCGCATATCAGGCGCAGTAGCCTGGGTGAACTGGAGTACGTACAGACAACACACGTCGCACGACTCTGGGTCAAAACAATCACCGACCCAACAGGCAGCATGGTGGAGGCAAAACCGGTGAGTGTCCCCCTGAGACAAGGGGACAGAGCAACCGTTAAACTCGCAGTACGCGAGGGGGAACTCCGGGGACACACCTAGCGGACCACGTAGCCCCTGTGGGGTTTTCCAGGGCCCTTAGCCTTGATAACACGCTAAGGGAAGCCCAGGCAGGGTACTGCGAACCGGCACCCAAAACTACCAACAAACTGCTATAGCTGAAGCCCCGGGACGTGTACACTCACGGGGGCCAAGCAGGGAGGACCACCAAGTAGA